TGAAATATGTTATTTTTATTCTACACTGGAATATGTTATCTTTATCCTACACTGGAATATGTTATCTTTATCCTACACTGGAATATGTTATCTTTATCCTACACTGACCTAAACAGTAAAAAAACATATGTTTACAAAACATTTTAGAAATAAACTTAGATTTGCTAAGCAAAATATATACTTGGTTTAAAAAAAAACTTACTTTCTTCAGCAAGACTGGTTATTATGGTTTTTAATGGAGTCTGTTGGTAGTCATAATATATCTTAAGCTGAAACACAGTAACCACAGCCTGATGATCAAGCTTGTTCACCTCCAAGATTGCCATCAACCAGTGTTCAGCAACTAAAAATTAAAACAATTAACTTCTGAAATCAAACCATCACATACATGTTCTTGAAATATTCCAACAATGAAATGTTCTAAATAACATTTTATTGTTGATTAAATTTGTCTAGCAAATAGCACTTTTCTCAATATTTCTCAGTTGGTAAGAAACAAAATGACAGATGATAAAAAATTGATTTTTATGAATAATAAAAAGCAGATGTGGTGGATGAAGTTAATTTAAGGGTGCTTAAGGGAAAGCTTGATAAATATCTGAATGATAATGGCTGGTTTTTGTGGTTTTTCTATTCTTTCTTTCTTCTTCTTCTTTTTTAAAGGATTTGGTTTAACTTAGGGATAGGACAGCCAACATGTATGAAAAAGTCATATGTTGTTCTTGAATGTTATGTTATCTAATGGTCATATTTCAAAGCTGCCAGAGTTGAAAAATTGATACTTAATTACTTAATAATGAATGTAAATAACTGTGGGTCTTTCAAAAAACTATCGTTACAAAGATTTTGAATACTTTTAAATCATTGGGGGATGATAGAGACTAATAAAAAAAAAAAGAAAGAGTTCAGACCTTTCAAAGCAAGGTGTTGCTGAGTGCTGATTAAATATTCCCTTACAAACATTCCTAATTTTGGTAGAATGTTCTTGACAGTAACACATAGAGCATTTTTGTCTTCAGAACACTGCTCCCATAACTTCTGCAGGTTTGGTTTTGTCTCCAAGAAAATATATCCTGAAAAAGTACAGACATGTATCAGGAGTTATATTACATCAATGACAGGTCTATGAAATACTCATAAGAAAGTTATTATATGTTTAATTAAAACTTCTTAAGGTGTCACTTTAAATGCTAATGTGGTATTTTATTTTAAATGTTCAGCACATAACTATTCTTGCCTAACTTTGAGATGGCAAATTCTACTTTTATTTTGTTATGGTTTTGTTTACCATTCACTTATTATTCCTTCTATTGTTTAGTTCAACTATGAATTTTTAGTTATTTTAAAATGCTAACTCACCTTCTACTTAGAGCACGTGAACTTTGAATATGTATGTATTATAAAACTGACACAAGCTTCCCTAGCAGTGATGTACGGATATAATGTTGTGAAAGATTTTGTACATTTATGGTAATAGCTAGTCATATGAGATGTAACCTCATGGTCTAAACACTGAATATCAAATCCTTTCTTGATCTTGAAAATGAGTTAGTTCACAAGATATAGTTAGAAATAATGATTGCTGGATATTGTTCTTGATAATGAGTAGGAATTTAATTTTGAAACATTGTCTTATTCTCTGATGACTTAGGTTCTTCTGGTTCTTTTTCTTAATTCCTTTGATTTTTATAAAAATTAAACAAATTGAGATTTATGTTGTGTTGTTTGTGCCAAGACCTGGCTAGGCATGGCTTTACTGAATGCTTTTTTTTAACATAACATAATGTTCTGGGACACACGGGACCAACTGGTCCATCTTGGTCATTCCATTCCCTAAACTAAATTAAAATAATCAAAAAATAACTTAAAGCCAGCCCTTTCAAGAGAAAACAATTTGAGAGATATCAGCCACTCCTCGTATGACAACCCCTCCATCCCAGCCACCATTCTAGTAACCCTTTCCAACAATTCAGTGTCTTTCCTAAGGTAAGGAGCCCAAGATTGAACACAATATTCCAAATGTGGCCTAACCAGTGACCTATACAATGCAATTATAACCTCTTTAGACTTGTATTCAACTTGTATTTAACTCTAGAATTTCCCAATCTATATTCCTGAAATAAAAATTATCCATAATTATGATTCCATTAACAGCTGAAATTTTAATCTCATTGTAAAGTTTCTCACTAATTTCATCAGTATAATTTGTAGTCTGGAACAAATTCACACTAAAAGCCTTTTCCAATTATATCCACTGGTAGAAACCCAAATGGATTCAATCTCTTTGCTATTATCTTTGATATCCTCAACTTCAACAGGATGTAACTCAAATTTTACATATAAAGCCACTCCTCTCCCCCCCCCCTCTTTAATACTCTATCCCTATTAAATAGCCTGTAACCTTGTATTTCAAAGAAGTTTCTGTCCTCAAAATCATTACGTTTAACTATGTTTCAGTTATTCCCATTATATTATAATCCTCCATTCCTATCAGTGCTCTAAAGTAATCAATTTTATTTCTTATACTTCTAGCATTACAATGGTAATAATTAAGCCTATCCTTATAACTACTTCTATACTCACTTCCTATGCTAAACTTTTCTGTACCTCTTATTATTTCAACCAGCCAATTTGCTTATCCTTACTTACTGTTACGCCTCTGTTTGTTAGTTAATTTTCCGTAAATTTTGTTCCAACGAAACTTTAGCGACTCCTTTCTTAAATAAAACTGGTTTATTTTTTTCTGAATACAACTATGCAATACACTTAATTTCTACTGTCTCGCTATAACAAACGCTATAATTCACAACAAACGTCTCACGTGCTCAACTCAACAATACTCTGTCCGCAGTTCAATTACACATTGTTCCCGTCGCTTCTTGGCCGGTCTTATATATACAAGCCTACTCCATATCTAGTAGTCTCCCGACGCTTCATGAACATTCTAGAAACGTGTGGCGTGTTACTAGCGTCAAGTGACCTCCGCTGTCGTAACAATACTAACTGAAGCCCAGCATTTAGTCCTAGTGACCTACTTATAATTATATCCCCACAATTAATTCTGGGCAGTATCCCTCAGAAAATTAAGTTATGGCCTTTTCCTTTAAATGCCTTTATCATCCCCTTATACTGATTGTTAAGTCTGTAATATCTCTTCTTGTTTCTTTTCTTGTTCGTCTAGTTTCTCTTCTTGTTTATTTTCTCGTTCTTCTTGTTTCTTTTGCTGCCATCAAATCTGCTAAGCTGTAGTTTGATTTGCCACCTCTGGTTTCCATCTTCTTCTTTCTTTTTTGTTTTTTTTGTCGTTTGTTAATTTCCCGTATAATTTCTTTCGGATGAAACTTTAGTGATACAAGTCCTTTCTTAAATAAAACTAGTTTATTCTTTTTCAGTACAACTTTGCAATACACTTAATTTCCACAGTCACTTTAACTAAAACACAGCCTATAATTCACTACAATTTACACACTTTACTTACGGTTTGACTCGATTATCTGTCTCTATCTCCCTATCTGCTATTCAATTATCTCCCCCCCTTTATTTTCCACTCTTATATATACAAAATAGAGGGTGTCTCGAGCCTTCAGTAACCTTCTAGATACTCATTATGTGTTACCAGCATCACGTGACTTCTGCTGTTGTAACACTACCCCTTCCTTAGTATTGTTCGTCCCAAAAAATAGCTACTTACATTAAACCAACAGATAATTACCAATAACTAAATGAACAGAATTTACAAACACAACATTAAAATTCAATAAAGTCTTTTAATTATACGGGACGTATCTTCTTCCGTACTGGTCTCCATCTCGTTGGCTTATGCTTCATGTGGGGTTCATCTGCTCCATCAAGAAATGTCCTATTATCGAT